CCATGTCTACCATCCCTTCTTTTTTGGTTGTTGTTGGTCTAGAGGGGGAAAGAAAAATAGGAGAGAACAGAATTAAGTCTGATTCTTTTTTGTCTGAATACACTGAGGGTAGAGGAAGCACAAGCCAAAAAAGACTGCAGAAGTTTTGACACCTTATGAAACCATCTAAAATCTTGAAAACCAAGAGTAAAGAGAGGTGTAATTCTGGGAAGAAAATAACCAAAGACTGAATAAGTGTCCTACAAAAACGAGTGGATTACATGTTGACATTCTCTTAAATAATGCTCTGTATAGTTTCATCTGTTCTGTATTTTCATGTAATAATTGCTACATGAGTGCTAAATTTAGCTCTGGTTATAATTCTAGTTTCTAATTTCTAAGAGCATAGCAGATTTTAAAAAAAAGAAAGAAAGAAAGAAAGAAAGAAAGAAAGAAAAAGAAGCCTGGGCTAGTCTATGATTCACAGTTAAGCTCACTTTTTGATAACTTGGCCAGCTGCCAAAGACATCATATTTCAGGCTCCACTGTCCATCTGGTGGGAGCTTGTCTGATTTCCAGACAGAGCCTAGTAGTCTCTGAAATGCAGGTTTGCAGCATCCAAAATCTACAAAACAAGTGCTGGGGTGGCTGGTGACTTCCCTTTCTAAATTAAGTATTTTGGTGCAAGATATTGTGGCTTCTTGGTTCATTTGTGACTCTCCATTCCTTCCAGGACTAAGATATGGGGAATTGATGCACATTATTGACCAATGGACATGTCTAAAAACTGCATTTAAGTTCTGAAAGCAAGCCAACTTTAAACTCAGTGTTTAGAAAAATAATTGAGTCCATATTGAGGGATTCCATTAATACGAAGTATGGTGAAGCTATTGGAGTTACTGTCTTCTGAACACAGGGAGCTTGAGTTGCTCAAAACCTACAACTATGAGATGACAGAGCCAGGGTGCTGATGCTTAGTGTTTCACTCTGGGGAATAGTGCTTCTTTTATTAAGCCACACGTGGGGGCTTTTATAGATTTGCAAAAGGTTTGTTCTTAAATAAGAGATACAAATGGAGATTTTTATCTTTGCATCAGACAACCCAGTAATTGATTGCAAATATTGCCGGGTTGATATTTTACACTGTTTAAGAGACTTTGAGGGGTCAATTCTGGGTTCTAATCCCGGTTGTTCACTTGTGTAGTTCCCAAAGGTAAACTTACTTTGCTCCATTTCCTTATTTATAAAATGAGGCTAATGCTCTAAAGATGAAAATGAGGTACCAATTTCTTTAAAGCCTGCAACCCAGAGCAAGGCATGTAGCAGTCAGTTACTAAATGGTGACCCTTTGTTAGTGAAAATTCTTCAAGGGTTCTCCATGCAGTTCTGATTTAAAGCTTCATGGAACTTAAATTCTCATGGGAGAGATAAACAAGATGAGTAACTGAAATTTATGGATACAAGTGATACGTGCTAAAGAGAAAGAACAGAGAGGGGAGAAACAAAATATTGGGGAGGAGTTAAAATTTTAGGGATACTGAAGAAGTATCTGATACTGAAGAAGACCTCAACAAGAAGGGGACTCTTGAATGAACACCCGAAGAAAAATAAGATGTAGATGTCTAAGGGAAGAGCACGTCAGCAGATGGGAGCAGCAGTTGCAAAGGCCCTGAGGCAGGCAGGAGGGTACATGATGTATACAAGAAAGTGCATGGAAAGGGTGGTGTGGCTGGAGTAGGATAAGGGATAGAATAGCAGCAGGTCAGAGATAGCAGAGGGCCAATGGCAGATCACGTAGGGCCTTGAAGGTCATAGTAAGGATGTTCGGGAGCTTGAGCAGAGGAGCAACATGATCAGATTTACATTTTAAAAGAGTCCCCTGGCCTCTGAGAAATAGACTAGAGTGGGAGGGTAGTCAACATAGACAGAAGCATGGAGACCAGTTGAGAGACTAACATAATAAGCCAGAGCATTACAATATCCACCTTACTGGAGTAATTATGATGTGTTCTGCTGTTGAGATGCAGGAGGTTTTTTCCTGTGCCCCTTGCTGTGTTTATAAATACTAGGAGGAATAGGAGTCAGATTGTTCTGGAAGTCATTACTGTCCTGGCTTTAATTTTTCTTCAGTACGTTTAAGCACTGCATAATAGTCACATTTATATATAACGTTATTCTGTGCTGTGCTTGGGAAATTTTCTTGCAAATGAAGGGATCACTTTATAGAACAGATTACCTTTGAAAGTTGTCATACTGGAGCTATCCCTGGTGATTATCCCATGGCAGCAAGACTAAACCGAAGGACTGTTTCATTGTGATCAGTTGTCAGTCCTGATGCTGTCAGACAACTAAAAGCAAAGTAGGTTACTGGGGCTGATGAGCACCACTGAGATGCACACAGACTGTGAGACAGTGCTTCATTCACCATCTCCCTTGGTAGATGTCGCATGGAAAAGGGAACCCTCTCTGCAGGATGTCACCCTGCTATTTATCCTCCACGAAGCTGCGGCTTTACTTTTCTCACTGTTAGGATGTGCTTCCCATGGCCTTCAAAGCTTGTGCCATATTTCAGGATTACCTGAAAAATTACTTCTCTGTGTACATCAGAAAATTGGAGTAACCCAGTTTACTAGGTAGAGGCTCAGTCTTCAGTGTCCTGAAACTTTCATGAAATTCTTGTATAAATTTAGTTTTAATTTACTTTGTATGCGTATGTGTGGGTCTGTGTCTTAAGGGTAGAGAATATATAAGTCAAATTTAACAGGAATGTTACAAGTGTGAAAAGGCTGGAAGTAATGTATTTATATCACTCTGGCTTAGCTACTGCTGCTGACCCCAAAATTCCTTTGATTGTCTTTCAAGGATCTGTAGGAGTTGTAACCATTTTCCCAGAAGTGGATTAAACATGAATGGATATGGTATAATTTAGTACCATAATCAGATGTCAGTAACATATGCTCATCATGTTGACTATATTTATTTGTCAGTTTAATTACAAATATTATTTCACATTTTCCTTTGGTGGGAAAGAAACTTGAATATCATTTTACATGTTTTATGCATCAGGAATATAAAGTCAACAATAGAGATGTTTAATTATGATTTATATCATTTATTTCCACAACACCTTTATTATTGGTAGTGTTTTTTCAATAAAAGAAAAAATTGGGTACTTTGTCAATTCATGATTTTGCTTTCCTAAAGTCACGTTTTATGACCATTACCTTCATTTCCATGATATTTGTCATAGACATTTTTACAGATACCAGAGGTCTTAAGAGTAGCTCTTTGGGGGGTTTCAGGAGGTAAACCTATGGCAAAGGAAACTTTAGTGTTCAGGAATAGCCTGGAGATCACCTGACCAACAAGGATAGAGTGAATGGACTCCAGTCTTCAGATTATTAGTCTAGACCCTGTCCCCAACACCAAACCATTTCTGTTGGCTCTTCTGCAGTCTTTTTCAAATTTGTGGAGGGCTGGTAGTTGTAGAATAAAAACAGATATTTTGTAATAAGATGAATCCAATAGTAATAAGCAGTGGTGACAGTGTTCTTCTAAGTGAGTGAAATTTCTAACTGACACATTTCTATAAATTTCTTACCAGTGTCCTCTTAGAAACTTGCGTTAAATCCAGAAAGATATCAATGCCTGCCTTTTAAAGATAGATGAATCCTCACAAACATGATGTTGAATGAAAGAAGTAAGTTACAAAAGAGAATGTACACCATGGTTCCCTTTGGTCGAATATAGGCAAACAAAGCTATGGTATTAGAAGTGAGGAGGGTAGCCCCCTTTGTGGTTTGGGGAGGGAAGTGTTGAACTGACTTGGGTGCTGGTGACACAGATACTCCTGGGGAACCTTGGAAAAGTAAAACTCTTTTAAATGCCTTATTTTCACAGGTGGAAGTTAGTTGAAATGCTTTCAACTCTAAGAGCCATTCTTAGACATTTATTGTGTTATTGCCATTTCCCAGCAAAAGCCAGCTACCCTTATTTGGTCATCGTTGTTTGTGAGCACACTGTATTTCTTTGGAGGTCTTGGATCTGCTCTGTCGAAGAACCAGCTGCTCAGCAGCCACGTGAAGTCGATCAGAAAGTGCTTGCCAGGGGCGCCTGGGTGGCTCAGTGGGTTAAGCCGCTGCCTTCGGCTCGGGTCATGATCTCAGGGTCCTGGGATCAAGTCCCGCATCGGGCTCTCTGCTCAGCAGGGATCCTGCTTCCCTCTCTCTCTCTCTGCCTGCCTCTCTGTCTACTTGTGATCTCTCTCTGTCAAATAAAAAAATAAAAATCTTTAAAAAAAAAAAAAAAGGAAGTGCTTGCCAGCTTTCTTGCTTATGCTTTTTAAGATGGTTTGGGAAGAAAAAGATGGAAGACGGGCTCCCCAGTTAGGATGTTAGTCTGTATCAAAACAGACCCTGCCAGAAATGTTTTCATGGAATTCTGATAAGGCTCAAAGCAGAGAGCTTCAGTCAGCTTCTTAGAATTTAACAATTTCACACTGATTTTTTTCATATAAATGGTTTCAGAAGAGCACACACAGTTGAGTAACAATAGCCTTATGATTTCAGAAGTGTTCCTTGAAGTCAGTGCCTAAAAGAAATAAGATTGAGAAATAGAGATTACTGTGAGCAAATAAAATTTTAATAAAAATGAAAACCGATGGCCACAGCCATGATGTTTCTCTAGGCTTCTTGTGGTAAATGAAATCCATAAGCTTTCTGACCACAGTAAGTATAGGAAAAGCAGGAAGAACTGAAAAGATATTGTGGGTCAGCAAAACCTTTTGCAGTCCTCATGGTTTAGAGACTAAGGCCACTGTGTAAATCGTTTATATGTAACTGGTCAAGCTCAAGGTGAAGAACAGTTTTCTTGCAAACCATTGCTTCTTTCTTAAACGTGACCTTTTTGTTTGGTTGCTTTAAATCAGTTAAAAAAAATTTTTTTTTAAATAAGAAACGTGTTTTTAAATGTTTCTGCCAGCTGTTTACACGCTATACCTCTTCTTCCTTTTCCCCCTGTAGTGTTCTATTTCTTCATCAGAAGAAGAAAGACTTATTTCCATCAGGAGACCTAAAACGCCAACCTCAAGTGACTTCTCTGACCTTAATACTCAAACAAATTGGACTAAGTCACTTCCCTTGCCAACACCAGAAGAGAAGATGCGACAGCAAGCCCAGACGGTCCAGGCTGATGTGGTTCCCATTAACATAACTGGTATGCTTTGCTATGCAGATAGGTTTCTAAACGCACTTGGGCTTTTGTTTGTTAACATGCTCTTAGCATCTCATTTATAAATCAGCGGTAAATAGCTGTACTCTGGCTTCCTGCTCTTTGTTTAGTGAAAGGAATATTAAAACTTGTGCGTGCATATGAAATATTTCTTGCTTGTTAGAACACTGTGTTACCAAAGGTTGATACCATGCAATTCATCAAAAGTGTGTGTGTGGTTTTTTTTCATTGAATTACTTAAAATATCTTACTTTAAATATTTTATTTGAGAACATCTTCTAAACATGGTCCTGGGTAAGAAAACAATGACATGTTTCCCTTCTAAAGGGTTGTTTTATATAGTATTTATAGAAGTGAAGAAATAACAGTTTTGTGATATTTCTAAATGATACATTTTCTTACCTTTTTGTCTTAAGTAGAAAAAGGGAAAAATTGCTTAAAATAATATCAAGTGAATTAACAATTTTAAAGTTAATAGGATGGCAAAATTATATTTTGATTCCCATAAATTTGAATTCTGCACTCTTCAAATAAAAATCGATTCCTTCTGAATATAAAATTTTTAGAATATGTTATATTAAGTTGGAATATGAATATTGCCAAATATGAAATTCAAGTTCTTTTAGAATATTATGCTTAGATTTTAATCATCTGTGATATTTAAGGGGACAAATAACAAGGTACATAAAGCTCAAAGGCAATATTTCACAAACTTAGAGGAGTTGTTAAAAGATTAAAAGTCAAAATTTTCCTGCTTTATCAGTTCCAGAGCTCACAAAGATTGGTCAGTGGTTTTGGCGGGAGGGTGTACTAAATATAAAATAGATGTGTTAAGAGTTAACATTGGATAGGGTGTTCAAATGAAACAGATTATTAATAATCATCATTGATTATCAGTCCTTACAGAGCAAGATCTATAGGGTAGACCCCCAAAAAACAGGTGACCGGTAAGGATGAATTTTCATAAAAAATTAGGATGAAAACCCATAGCACCCTTGCTGTACTTCTGAAGGTACCACTGTGGATCACTGTTAGAAAGGTTTTTACATTTTGATAGTTATTGCAGATTTTGTAAAAACCTTATAGACATTTAAAACTTCCACTTAGAATAAAAATGACATCTATTTTGAATCCCAGAGAAATTTAGTAAATAAGTGCATGAATTATTTTAAATTCCATGTACATTTTTCCATACCTATTGTACTTAAGCCTAAAGAAATACCATAGTATTTTATTCCATTTTTCTTAGCAACTAACATTGTTGATCTTTCCGAATGTGATTCTCAGGCACCTAGGTCATATCTTTTTAAGATTATTTTTCAAAGTAGCTGTGTTTCAGAAATAAAGTGTGTTTATTGCTTGGTGGAATATGTGGACACATATTTTCTGTAAGAAAATGCATTACATTATTTGATTAAATGCAGCAGAAACATAATTACATTATATATGACTAAATGCCTCAGCAGTAGTATTATAAGATAATATTGTGCTATGAAATATGACAGTCCTTAATGGAATTAGGATAAATGTATTATCCTGAGATTAGGAAATTTAAAACAGTAACAATAGCTTCAGAAATAAAGAATTATTTGCAATGAAATGCATTGTAAAAACAGTAAACAGTGCTATATCTTTGAGCTCTAATTCTCTCCTGTTGATGACGTAAGTGGATATGAAGTACATAGAATTTAAAAGGAGTCGTTCAGATATCACAGAGGAAAGGTGAATGACAATAAAGAAGTGAGCAGTATGAGTTATGTCAAAATGCAGTTGACTTTTGCGTGTTAACATTTTCCAAAATGTAATAATTAAATATAGTACCTAATTATGTATTTCTGGATCCAAGTGTTCACATATGTACACTTACATTTCATGAAGAGATGCTTTTTTTCATATTCTGATATAAAGAAGTATTGTATTTAAATTTTTCACTTTCAGCAGTCAAATTGACATAGGTGTTATATAGCTTCTGCTACTTAAATGTTGTATTTCTGAAGCCCTAGAAGACTTTTGAAACTAAAATGTAGCTTCCCGTAGGGAACTGTCATATGTTCATTTATTTGGATGAACATTGACCGTCTAGTTTGATTTTCAGTCAGGTTCGGCGGGGGAAGAAATGTCGATAAATATACTGTTTCCCATGCAGAGTGAAGCCGGCCAGGCATAGAGGTAGAACATTAGCACAATGAGCTGCCGGCCGGAAAATCAATTTAATCCCTTTAGTCATAGTCCTGTAGGGACTCATCATTTTCTAGGAGTTGAAGAGAAAAAAGTGTTTCAAATGAAATGTATCTATGCGTAGGTTTCATATTCTGCCATGTGGGATAATAAGCTTCCACCTGGAAGATAAATAGAGGGGTAAACATGCTTCAGCGGTTTTGACAAACTGGCTTTGTACTAATGTCTGAGTTAGCTATGTTTATTTCTAAGTAGTAACCATGACTAAGGCTGTTTTTCAATGAAAGGGAGGGACTTAGTTCCTCTCAGCAAGTATTTATTAAATACCTACTTTGTGTCTGAGTGACACAGGGGGTGCTAAGGTATGTGAGTCATGATTCCTACCCTCAAGAAATGTTTAGTCCACCAGGAGGGACAGACCTTTTAGGTCCTGATGCAAGATGGAGAGTTTGGTGCCTTTAACGGCATAGATCTTCGATGTCCATTCTCACGGTTTGTTTCTTAATTTCCTTGGAGTTTGGATGCCTTATCTTTTGGTTTTTTAGGAAGCAAAACTAGAGGGTAAATGAAACTATCAATGTTTTGTCTGTTCTTAATGCCTTGATACAAGGAAATTGTTTTCCTCTGCCGTAGGAACTCATGGACCACGGAAGTCCTGACTTGCCCCTTATGAGCACCATGTATGCTCTCGTAGTGATGCAGTTATCACAGCGTTGGCTCCTTCTGGTGTCTCACTGTCTTCTCTCAGTCCTTTCTGGTTTTCTCCATTAGGAACAAAGTTGCAGGCATTTTCAAAGTTGCCAGTATTTATTTAAGTTTGTTGCTTCCTGGGTGAACTGCGTTTTGATTGTTCAGATCTTTTATCTTCTCTTTAGATAAGTTTCTATTTGCAGTTTATTCCTATTTAAATAGAGGGTACACTGTACCACTATGAATGTGCATCAGTATTGCTAAAAAGAGTAAATGTTTTCATACTTATTTTTTACAACATAAGAGTGATGGAAGTGTATAATTTGTGTACCTAATATATTTTTTAAAATCTCTTTTTGAGGAGAATAACCATTTAACAAAGACAGTGGTATAGAAGTTTATTTAATTAAACTGGCAAATAATTTAAAGCAGACCAATCAGTAACTGATACTGTATTATTTTATGGTTTCCCATTGGTGTGTTAATCACACAAGCTCACGATGTAGAGATAAAAAAAAGTCCTGTTGATATGGCATTCTAGGTTTGATTGCAAAATTACGGGAAATGTCTGAATTAAGATCAATTGTAAAAGGTGATTATAAAACAGAGAAAGCAATTCAGCTTTAACAACAGCAGTGCTACTGGGTCTCATTGTGGTAAAAGTACTTGATCATTGTAAGGCTTTTTATTGGTCGTGATAGTTGTATCTCACACCATAGCAATAACCACAGCCTGTCCAAATTGTCAGCCTTCCTGACTGAAAGAAAAAGCTCTTCATCCAGAAATCCTTGATAAGTTATTTGTATCATTCCAGAGGACAAGACATAAGACAAGAGATAACCAAAACCCAATATGCCCACTGCCATCTCACGTACGCTGATTTAAGAGAGATTCAGTGACCAGAGGGCCTATGTAAAACACTTCCAAATGAGCCATTTTTTTAAAATAACACAGAATCACTCTTCAAGTGTGTTATTAACAGATTGGCCCTTGTTACCCCAGCATGTCTGCAAATGAGATCAAGGTGTTTCCTTTGGAAGGACACACACCTGGAAATGAAAAAAAAAAAAAAGCCTTATGATGATAATGTGCTTTCCTTCCTTTTTTTGTCCTTCAGCATTCATCCATCATCATATGACTGGCTAACATCATTATTAATACCTTCTTATCATTTTACAACCAGCTTCTGGAAGAAAGTGCATGGTGTCGGCTTGCTTGAAAATAACATTGCTTTGCTTGTTCTACTACTCTATATTAGGGGAGAATTTCGATCGCCAGGCCAGCCTTCGGCGGTCTCTAATTTACACAGACACTCTGGTAAGACGACCGAAGAAAGTCAAAAGGAGAAAGACTATTACAGGAATCCCTGACAGCATACAGAAGGAGCTAGGTATGGCTCATCAGAACTGTATTCTGTTGCCCCTGGTTACTGCTCAGCATTACACGCTAACCTCGTTACCATGCTTATGAGATCAATACATTCTGATAGCCGTGTGGTGTCCCCAGAGGGACAGCTTCTCCTCCTGAGTGAGGCAGTGGGTGCAGGTCTTCACATCCCATGCAGATGATTTGTTGAATTTGGAGAAGGGAACAGGAAGAGCTTACATGAAAACTGTTAACTGGGATGATGGAAATGTACAGTCATGTCCTCATCTCTGTGAACCTTGCACACCGGGTATTTCCACAATGAAATTTACCTTTCATTTCGATCTTAAGTTTTCATAAAACTGAAAACTCATTCTAGGACTTCAAATTATGAATATAGACTCACTAGTCATACTGACAGCGTTGGTGGCATTTTGTCACCCAAGAGACAGTGGTGGGGGATATTTAGTAAATTCCAGTACACTAGAAGCAGTCATTTGTGTTGGATAGTGCCTTAGGAGAGCTTCCAACCAAACAATTTCATAGGTTTCTGGTCAGTATTTTCCAACCTGTGATAAAAACAGAGAAAAGACACCTTCCCCTTTTGGGGGGGGGCTAGTGGAAAGGGTTATTTACTTCATAATTCATGTATTCAAATTATTTCTGCTTATCTTTATATATACTTCGGATAATCCTATCCTTCTATATTCACTTCCTCTCTCTGGTTTTTATTGGGCCCATTTGGGAATGTCTACAGAGGCAGCAGAGAGCATGCTGGGTAAGGGGCAGGTGCTCTGACACCACGCTGCGTGGATTTGAACCCTGCCCCTGCCACTTACTCTCTGGGTGGCCTCAAGCTGATTACTTGACCTCTCAGAGTCTCCTTCTGCATTCAAGTAGTGTGGGTGCTGATGCTAACAGGGCGTATGTCACAGGGTGGCTTGAGGAATTCATGAACTTAGACAGGTGAAGCACTTGGTGCCTGGTGCTATATGTTCACTATATGTTAGCATGAGAGCTGCTTTGATAATTACTGTTGAGAACTTAATACTACCTATTTTGAAATTTGCCTCTTTCTCTTCAGCCTGCCTGTGGAGTGATTTCCTTATAGTTACTTTCACCTGATGTGTTTACTTTCATTTACTATTGAAGTTTATAGTCTAGAAACTCAGAATAATTATTTCTGAACGTGCCCAGGAGTCTTTGAGTCAAAATGAGCTTATCCTCACCATGGTGATCTGTCTGTTACAGCACTTTGAGGTGGCATTGCAGCTGCCGACATTGTTCCTGTGCCTTTTTTCTCAACACCCCTGCTTAAATGCCTTGTATTAGCGACAGAAGGCTCTTCTCTACCTGGTATTCCCTCTTACTGCCGCCCAGTTCTGCAGTACGTACGCTCCACCTTCCAGACTGAAGCCACAGTGGGACAAGAATAGTGATGCTTTACTTTTGCTCTAGGTAGTTCCAGCGACCCAGATGGCATACAGGTGCCCATCTTATTTCATAATACAGGGTTTTATCACAAACAGAGGCAAGACCGCATCCATAGGATTTATGAAATTTGTCTTTGGTTCATGACGCTGCATCTGCTTCCAGATCTGGGCCAGTCCTGCCCATTCTTTCAAACTCTTTATTTTTTTTTTTTCTCTCCTTTAGGTGACAGATAACTAATGTAAGAAACTAGTACGTACTCATATGTTCAGTAGATGCTTAATGGGCTAATATCTTACAGCACTCAGGTAACATTTGTATTTTAAATGGTCTTTCAGGGGATGTTCTTTAACCTAAAGAGTGACTTTAAAAAGATGGACCCTTTGTAAGATAACAAGGTTGATGTTTTGAGGTAGTCTATATGCTAGTGGCTGTACTACCAAATAGGTAGGTTTTGGATGGCTTTGTGCAAAGAGTGTAAGAACAGTTAGGCCCAGGTAAAGAGATATATACACACAAGTATTCAACATGAATTCTCTCTCTCTCTATGCCCCTCAGCTCTCTACATGTATATATATAATATGATTTCTAGAACCTCAGAGATAGGAATTTTTATCACTTTTATTACCAAACAAACCAGTATGGAGCCAGTAACTTAGTTGCCTCTTTGACCTTGCTAGAATGATCTCATCAGCTAGGTAAATCATGTCTTCTGTAATTTTATTTTTAAAATCAATGATTGAGTCCCCAGGGCCCATGTTCATTTCTCTTTTGCATGTAATATAGAAACACCAGTAATGCTGGAGGAAAGAAAATAGCTTTCCCCATATCATTGCATTGTGATTGCCAAGGAAGAGACAGTTGATGTCATTTCATAGTCAATGACGTGACCTGGATCCTAGCTGGTGGTCATCTGGGACAGTTGTATCTAAGTTAGAGCTACTTTAAGAAAAAGAAAAGAAAAGAAAAGAAAAAGAAAGAAGGGAAAAGAAAAAGACAACAATTTTAGTTTTATAGAGAGGCTAGTTGGAAGGATTAATAGAGTAAGGGAAAATAACATTTAAATACAGTAACATTCAACAGAAAATTTGGGTCATACATTTTTCTTAATTTTATGACTTCTGGGTGATCTTGCTTGTTCTCCCCAATATTTTGTACTTGTTAAGTTATCTGGTGGTTCAAAGCTTTGTACTACCTAACTAATGATTCTCAAAAACAAACACTTAGTATTTTCTGTAAAAATTAGACTTTTCTAGATATAAAATGGAGGGAATTTGTCAAACAAATGAGATAAAAAGAGAAATGATTATCAAAAAAAAAAAAAAAAGGACATTCACTAAGAAAGATACTTTCTATTCACTAGAACTTGCCCAAGTTGTTGGGAATTTGGATTTTTAAAAAAATCTAACCAGAGATTTTTTAAAAATCTAACTAGAGAGTTGATTGTGCTTAATTCTATGTGCTTTTCACTTCAAAATCCATAAATAATGGACTCTAGAGGTGAGCCACTTAATAATGCTAAGTCAAGGTATGATATTTATTGTTTCAAGCAGTTTATGGCTTATAATTTGTTGCCTTCCATAATTTTTTTTACTCTTATTAAATGTACATAGAAATGTACTTGAACAGCCCCTCGTGAGTTTTCATCTTCTAGAATGAGATAGGATCATTTTGTTGTTATATAATTATATTTGGTTACTGAATAATTTGGATACTTCTAGAACAGTACTTCTTCCCCAAGCAGAAAAAGCTTCATTTAAAGGAATCCCCTTCTTGGGGTATCTGGGTGGCTCAGGCAGTGAAGCTTCTGCCTTTGGCTCAGGTCATGATCACAGGGTTCCTGGATCTCACCTAGCGGGGGGCTCCCTGCTCCGCAAGGAGTCTGCTTGTCCCTCTCCCCCTGCTCACGCTTCCCCCACCCCTTTCTTTCTCTCTCTCTGTCAAATAAATAACTAAAATCTTTATATAAAATAAAAGGAATCCCTTCTGAATAATTATTGATAGTTTGTACTAAGAACATAAGATCAGACACAACTTTTTTAAAAATCCACATATTAAACCTTAAATTAACTAACCTGTAGATATCTGTCTTCATTGTCAATGTCTTCATTGATTACTTGTTTTTAAAAAATTGGATATCCCTTGTAGTATTATGTAATAAGTAAGAAATATATATAATTATTTCTTCACATTATATTTTATAATTAGATACATCCTATTAAGAGTTTTAACAACACCTCAGAGGTCTATATTTGTTTGCACATCTCTTTTCATAGTCTCTTTCTGTTATTTAATTCTGGTCAAGATCCATTTATTTGTGTCCTTTAATATGTGACACTTTTTGTACTATGAAAATATTAGAGGCTCTGTTCTGGGAATGGAACTTCAGTGATCCCTATGATCGATGATATATGAGTTATTTTTTACGTATATTTTTAAAGGTCTTCAGAAAAAAATCATTATTTTTGTTTTTTGTTTTTGTTTTAAAGATTTTATTTATTTGACAGACACAGATCACAAGTAGGCAGAGAGGCAGGCAGGGCGGGGTGGGGGGGCTCAATCCTGGGACTCCAGGATCATGACCTAAGCTGAAGGCAGAAGCTTTAACCCACTGAGCCACCCAGGCGCCCCAAGAAAAAAAATCATTATTTTAATAAGAAAGTTGTGCTGGGCCGTAGATGGTGGACAAATTGCTATATTTCCATTTTCAGGAGCCTAGAATGGTTTCATGTTCAAAATCGTTAACTGAGAGAGAATCAGTATATTGTTTGTGGCTCTTACAGATAGTTCAAAATCTACCACTGATCTCATGCAAAAACGACTGCAATTTTGAAAGAAAAAGTTAGTAAAATCCATTGTTGAATGGAATAAGGTATCTTGAGTATTTGGAATCAAACTGGTGCAAACTGATACAGCCAAACTAGTCAATTTCCCCCTTCAGAAATCCCAAGTGGCAAAAACTTTATCTTTTGTTTTCTTTCCTCAAAGTGGACTTTTCTCCTCCTCCTGCCCACTGCCCACTTCCTCTCTTTCTAGGGAAGAACCTTATGTGTATGTGTATGTATCTGTCTGTCTTCAGTGAGTGTGCCTGGCAGAGGGTAGGGGAAGGAAATAGATGCTCTCTGCTTAAAGATACAGGTATGAAAATATTCTCCATCATCACAAGTGAGGGAACAGGCACTTTATGCTTTATTCCTCATAGGGTGACATCTCCTTTGTGGTTCATACAAGAACGTTGCTGCCATATTTGTAATATCCTTTGCTGTTCAGATGAGCAAAGCGTTTTATAGCCAGCCAGGGACAGTGGTTAATTCACGTGGGATAGGGAGGGAGTTCCCAGGAATCCCATCACCACCAGCGTCCTCACCCAAGTGAGCCGAGATGCAGGCAAGTACTCAGCTTGCATTGCTCAGCAAAACCCCTGCTGGAGATTTTTTTTAAGTTTTTGAAACAATGTAGAAAAAAACTGGTTATACTGTTATTTTTCAAGATTTAATGTATCCTAATGGTTACTATGCATGAATTGATTTTTTTTTTTTTTCCCCTCTCTCTCCACTTTGGCTAAGTTGTCAGTTTATGGTTTTTTTGTTTGTTTGTTTGTTTTTTGTTTTTTTTTTTTTTTAAAGATGCTGTTCCATTCTAGGTAGCTTGAAATCAAACTGTTACCTACACTTTAGGGTTGTTTTTGTTTTTGTTTCTCATCCATTTCCCTCAGTTTGGCCCTCTTGATGCCTTTTTTTTTTTCTTTTCTTTTCTTTAAATATACCTACTCTCAGTTTGGTTGTAAAGCTCCAAGAAATGAGTAACTATAATTTGAGGAAATGCTCACTGGCTCAGTTCCTGCTGCTTTCCCCCACCGGAACACAACAGATTGCTTCTGGAGTTTGAATGTCACTGACAGACACATGACAGTGGTGTAAGATGGATAATGGAATGGTTGAAACACAGATGGGCCTGTAAATCACTTTTCCTTAGGATTTCCTTCTGACATAAAAAATTAATGTAATTAACACTGTTCTCTACCGACATCCCTTGTAAATAGTGTCTCTGTAGCCTCCTGTTGAACCGTTCCATTCATCTGTCTTTGGGAAAGATGGTCACAGCTTGACAAGACGCCCTGCACAGTAACCTGGTGGGTGACAGGCCACCTTGAAATCTTTACTAAAAGGGCGTTCTTTGAGAAGTAGATCTTCCAACAGGCACTCAGCCTTGATCTCAAAGAGAGTAACTGAGAATTCCATATGTAGCCCTTAGTCTGTAGGAGGATTTGAAGTACAAATCAAGAGACATACATGAAATTCCTAATAAAGGTTTTTACTTTAGGAGCTGTCAGTAACTAAACTCTCACTCTGGTGCCTGCAGGAGAAAAGAAACTAGATCAAGTAGAAAATATATATATATTTTTAAATACAACAGGGTAAGAAGGGGAGGAGGGTACAGGTGATGAACTAAGATATTTTTAGATAACAAGCCTCTTTCTGCTTTATCTCCAGCATCAGGCACGGGCCAAGATGATGTTGGGGGTCACTCAGTGTACACCCCAGACCACTACTCTACACTAGGAAGGCTTGATAGCTCTCAGTCTGCGGGACAGCGCTCAGAAACCAGGGACTCCAGCTGTCAGACTGAGGAAGTGAAAGTTGTACCACCTTCTATGAGAAGAATCAGGGCACAGAAGGGGCAAGGCATTGCTGCCCAGATGAGCCACTTCTCAGGCTCCTCTGGGAACATGTCTGTGTTGAGTGATTCTGCGGGCATTGTATTCCCTTCCCGCCTCAACAGTGATGCTGGTTTCCACAGTCTCCCACGTTCTGGGGCGAGGGCGAGTGTTCAGTCCCTGGAGCCACGGCTGGGTGCCCTGGGCCCCACAGAAGACCTGGATGGCCCTTACGCCTACCACAGCAATCACCCACAAGATGATGAAAACTTAGGACATTTAGGAGGAGCCTCAATGACTGGAATGTTTTTGAGGCCCAAGTCCCAGGCGCTGAGGCCTTTTGAGAATGTAATCAGCCCAGCATGTGTGGTCTCTCCTCACGCCACCTACTCCACCAGCATCATCCCAAATGCCACACTCTCTTCCTCCTCGGAGATTATTATTATTCATACTGCTCAGAGTTCAGGACAGCTGGACAGCAAAATTACCAGCTCCTCTTCGTACACAAAGATAAAATCCAGAGACCACCTCCTCTCCAGGCATGCTAGTAAGGAGGACCATCAGCCTCCCAGTGGGAACTGGACAGAGGGTCACCCCAGCATTCTTTCACAGGCCTTAGATCCTCATTCCCCCGGTGCAACCACACTGTTGTCGCTCTGTGACTCAGCGGTCTCTCTAAATACTCCAGAACATCAGGAGAATGGATCCCAAGCCATGAGCTATAACTGTAAAAACCACCTGAGCTCTCCAGCCCATGCCCAGGACGTGGATGGCAAGAGTGAGTCCAGTTACTCAGGAGGTACGGGGCCCGGCAGCTCTGAGCCCTGGGAATACAGTGCCTCTGGTAACGGGCAGGCATCCCCACTGAAGGCACATGGGGCGATTCCTGGCTACTCCACTCCCGGGAGTAATGTGAGCAGCTGCAGTTTGGACCAGACATCCACCAAAGATGATGCCAGGTCCCTGTATTCAGAGGAGCACGATGGCTACTACACGTCTATGCAGCCTGACCCAGGACGCAGATCTGGAAACCAGAACAGTTGCGATGGCTTTGGGAACCCCAGGCACAGTGTGGTCAACGTGTTTGATGGGAGAGCTCAGAAAAACCAAGGGGACCGGTCACATTTCCATGACAAGTCTCTCTCGCGGAATATCTCTCTGAAAAAAGCGAAGAAGCCGCCTCTGCCACCCTCGAGGACGGACTCCCTGCGCAGGATTCCCAAGAAGGGCGTCCAGTCAAACGGGCAGGCGCTGAACGAGAGCCTGATCGCCTCCCTCCAGCACTCGCTGCAGCTGAACCTCCCGGGCAAGGGCGGCAGCTCACCCTCGCAGAGCCCCTGCAGTGACTTCGAAGAGCCTTGGCTGCCTCGCTCCCGCAGCCAGAGCACGGTGAGCGGGGGCAGCAGCATGACCTCGGCCACCACCCCCAACGTCTACTCCCTGTGCGGGGCGACGCCGTCGCAGAGCGACACGAGCAGCGTCAAGTCCGAGTACACGGACCCTTGGGGTTACTACATTGACTACACCGGCATGCAGGAAGACCCTGGGCACGCCGGCGGGGGCTGCTCGGCCGGCAGCAGGGCGCCGGCAGGGAACGGGCCAGTCCACCATGTTCACGACGGAGCCAGGACCGTGATGCCCCAAGTGCCTGGTGGCTCCGTCAAACCAAAGATCACATCGCCGGAGAAATCCCACAGGGTCACTTCTCCGTCCAGTGGGTATTCCAGCCAGTCCAACACACCCACAGCACTCACCCCAGTGCCTGTGTTTTTAAAGTCAGCGTCACCAGCAAACGGGAAGGGGAAGACCAAGCCCAAGGTGCCAGAAAGGAAGTCCTCTCTGATATCTTCAATCTCCATCTCCTCCTCGTCCACGTCTCTGTCTTCCAACACTTCCACGGAAGGGGGCGGGACCATGAAGAAGCTGGATTCGGTGCTGGCGTCTCCCCCTGCCGCTGCCCCTCTTCCTTCTCTTCCCTCACCCTGTCCTGCGGACAAGCCTCCTTTCCTTCCTCCTCCCCCGCCTTTAGCGGATTCCCCCAACGGCTCTCTGCCTCAGTCTCCCCTCTTCCCCCCTCCGCCGCCAGAAGTGCTCACTCCCTTCTCTCCCCCCACCAGCGCGTGCTTTCCTCCTCCCCCCAGGGCACTTAGCCCCCTTACTCTGGGTGCCCCTGCTTCCCTGCCGCCTGCCCCCGCTTCTGGACCCTCCTCAGCTCCCCCGCCTGCCCCACCCCTTGACCCCAAATGGATGAAAGATGCCAGGCCTTCTTTGAAAAAATCTGGCCAGTCAGAATGCTCCCGGGAGGCCTTCCGGCAGCCTCCTAACAAGGAGGAGGGCAGCAGACCCCCCATGCCCCTGATAACCACTGAAGCGTTGCAGATGGTACAGTTGAGGCCCGTGAAAAAGAACTCAGGAACCGAGCAAGCACTGTTATATGAACAAGTATCTCAGGAAAAACTAACTCCGGTTGTTCCCCAGTATCATTTAAAGCCATCTGCTTTCATGAAATCCCGAAATAGCATAAATGAAATGGAGAGTGAAAGCCAGCCTGCCTCCGTGACAAGCTCGCCGCCGACTCCTGCCAAGAGCTTGAGTCAGGGTCACCAGGACAGTGCAGCCGAGCGTGGCCTCCCGAGCCGCAGCCCGGGCAGCGCTGAGGAGTCCGAGGCTGGCCCGGACCCCAGGGCCGCCCCGCTGCAGGAGCCCCCCGGCCCTTCACCCAGCAGGAAGCCGCCCCCCATTTCCAAGAAGCCCAAACTGTTCCTCGTGGTGCCGCCTCCGCAGAGAGATTTCACAGCGGAGCCCGCGGAGAACGTGAGCGGAGCATCACCCAGCCCCACGAGGGGAGAGGCAACAGAGAGTTGTAGAGCCAGGGCTGGTGCTGAGGAGACGGGCTCTGGCAGCTTGGTTCTCGAGGGAGGAGCCGCAGGATCCGCGTCCCCGGACAGAGTGAAAGCCAATGTCCCCATGGTGCAGCCCGATGTCTCGCCAGCCCCAACGCGGGAGGAGCCAGGTGCCGAGAACCGTGCAGACGGTGGAGGCAGCGTGGAGAGCTGCCTGTCGCTCCAGGACGGAGGGCGTGAGTATGCTTTTCTCTCTCCTTCCCCTTGGACCATATGCAGCCCTTGTAGAAGAGAAGCCTAGTGTGTGTCCCCGGGAAAGCCAGCAGCATGTGGGCTGCCGGTGCCGCCACACACTCAGGTTACCAACTAGGCATTTTAAGAAATTAAAAAAAAAAAAAAAAAAAAAAAATGGAGATCTCAGGGTATTTATTGCTTCCTGAACATCAGAAAATAGAGGGGTAGGGTGGTCTGCAGCAGACAGGGTATTAAATAGCAAGGAGTAGTAGTCTCCCTTCTGGAGAGCTGCAGAGAAATGTTACAACAAGATTTAAGACACATTCAGTAGCAGTTCTAGACTTAACAGAAAAGAATGAGCTCTGGCTCTCCTGATCAGAATGGAAGATCAAAATGACAGACCCCACTGCCTGCCTGTCCTGTGGTCCTCTGTTGGCAGGAATGGCAGGGACAGCATATTGGGAAGCCTGGCTGAAGACTGAAATTCAAGTCACTTGTGCTTCCTGTGCTTGCTTCTTCTAGCTGGGGTGCCAGAGCCTGACACAGCTGGTTCTTCCTCCGAAGCCGGTGACTTCCTTAGGGAAGAAGGGAGTGATGAGGTGATGACCCCCAGTAGACCCCGGACCACAGAAGACCTTTTTGCAGCCATTCACAGGTATCTAAAACTCCTTCCTCTTAATTTTGATCTTTACGAGTCTACCTTTCTAAATGCTTCCTCACTTTGTCTTCCTTGAGTGTTTTCCTGTCACCCATTAGCTCGATCATTTATTTTTGGTGTGTTTTCTGTATTCTTATTTCCTCTGACTCCAATTTCTGTTTTACTTTGTTCCACTGATTTTTATGATGATATGGGGGACAGAGACTCCATGTGGTGCCTTCTGCTCGGCATTGCGCTTGCTGGCAAGACATGCAATGTGTCAGTCATATGACAGAGTATTTACAAGAATTGGATTAGAGCAATGGGTAGTCCAGTCCAGGATGAACGAGGCTGTTTTGTGGACATAAGCTACACAGACCAGCTCCACAGGACTTCTTTCCTAAGGGTGTGTTGTGTTTTGTTTTGTTTTGTTTTTAAAATTATTTTTGTGTTACAGAAATTTCAGGATTTTTTAGTGCAGTTGTCTTGGCTACTTAAATGTTTCAATACAAGAGTACAATCTTTTCAAAGCAGAGTGGAAGGAATTAAAGTTGTTATTGTATACTGTTAGTGCCATCTACTGGCACGAGAAATTGTTGGGTTTAAAAAAAAAATGTAGAGTAAATTTTTCAAAATAACTGCCTGAACTGTTGTTATACTTTTTACATGTGGTCGCCTTAGAGAGTGAGTATAATTTAGCACGAAAACTATATACTGCCTTTTTTCTGGTTGTAAACAGCCTGTACTCCCAACAGTGTCGTTGTAGGGATTGATAAGGTTGTACATGTTGCAAGTACTTTGAAACACAATGCTGTATAAACCCTTTGCTTCCTTCTCGACTTCTTTGCCGCAGTATTTTCAGATAATTCTTATGAATGTCCTTCTGCCGCCAAGGCCTTACACAGCACTGAATGGAGGTCCCTTTTCTTCTTCCGGAGACAAAGATGCCCATAGAGTCATTTGATTCTCTTTGTAAATTACCTTGTGTCAGGACTGTTTTCCCTTCTTGGAATTTAACTGAAAAGGCTATTGTGTGAGATGAAAAACATAGGACTGTCCTGATTTGAAATTCCCCGTGCAGCATATAAATATCTAACTTGGAGGGGAGCGGTGGAACCAAGCGAGGGAGTTAGGTGTTTGTCAAGAATTTTGTTCTTTACCTCTTGACTCTAGTATTGATACAATATCCCCAAAGACCCTAAAGACTGCCTCTTCAACATCGTCTTTCTGACTGGTATCTTTGATCTCATTAGAAATCAATGAGGTAAATGGTACATACTCATCCTGTCTGATGGCTGAGTAAAATTAAAGAGGGCACGTGATATGATGAGCACTGGGTGTTATATTCAACGGATGAATCATTGAACATTGTATCAAAAACTAATGATGTACTATATCCTGGCTAATTGAATTAAATTTAAAAAAATCAGACAATCCAATCGGAAAAAAGAAATAAAGAGGTAGCTGCTTATGAAACTGTTTCTCAGAACAGTGAAATGAAAATGCTACATGCTTTGAAGCCAACTTTAGTGGCATTTCTAGAAGTTTATACAGATGTTTCTAACTCTCACCGTGCTAGACCCATAATAAGCACTTAATAAATATTTTCTGAATTAAATGAAACCGATTAGAATTTAACTCTTAGGAATTCTTCCAAGACTCGACGTCTTTCATTTAGTCTGGAATGCACTGGGTTGCTGAACACGTAGGCATATAGATTTATAGTAGCGGTCCCCAGAGAAGACGTGTTGCTGATGGCTCTGTCTACTAACTACTTGGTCTCAGTGAGGAACCCAACTGTTGTGGGGCCAAGTTACTATGTGCTTTTCCAAAAAATATGCCAAAGTTCGCATCCATATTTTACTTTGGGAAGCTTCTTAAGGCACCAAGAAATCTGTGGTTTCTCCTACTAGTGAATTCTATCTACTGCAGACGTGGAAATCTGCCAGTCTCTATTATTCTGCGTACACATGGTAGAAATAAAGGCCAAGTAGGGTATGGATCACAAAGAAAGCAAGGACACCTGCTCATTTCTGTTTTAGCATCGATAATGTATTAGCAGACATAGGAAAAATCCATCTGAAGTCTGATTTTTAGGGCTTAATTTTATATTTGTCAGCACTAAGCTAATAATTTAAAAGAAGGAGTATCTCAACTGTACCACAGCCTTCAGATTTTATAATGCAAATTAATTCACTTCAGATTTAAAGCCAGATGGAAAATGTGGAACACCAGTTGAGGTGTGAAATTTTTATATTTATTGAAGTAATTAGTTTTCAAGCCCATGTTAACTGTTTGAGCACTTTTTATAGCCCTCTTTAGAAATACACACACAGTGTATGTGTGCGTGTGTATATACACATGTATACATACGTTTATGCCGAGAATTCACAGAATTCATATGTTTAGATTTAATTCTCATTTTCGGGCCGCAGCTGCTCTTGAGAAACAACAAAACTTTTATAAATTCCCATTTCCTATCTTAATTTGAAGTCCACAGTTAAAGGCCATAACTTGAATCAGGGGTAGCCAGGGGCTTGATGTGTGGGTCTTAGCACACCCTCACCTTTTAAAACCCAAACAAGAACTTAGGCTCCAAAGTGGTCCCTGCAAGGATCCGGTGAACAGAGCTGCCCTTGAGAAGGAGCCACTAGAGGTCGTGAGGTCACGTGCTGCAGGCGGGGAGATACTGCATCGAGTCCTCGTTCTTGGAGAAGGCTGTGTGGCTTCGCTCTTTGGCCTTAGTTACCTTCTCTGGTCAGACGGGTTGAAGTCATTTCCAGCTCTGAGATGCTGAGACGTTATTTCTGTTGGCTGGTCAGGAATGTGTGCCAGAGCGCCGCTCTCTGCTGACAGCGGAGCAGGGCCATTGACCTAAAGTATCAGAGGCCCAGCTCTACAGCCTCCAAGGGGCCGGTGCCATGTCAGCTCTGGCTGCCCTTCACACTTTGTTTTTAGCCTTCGCCACTTCCTGTCTTCCACTTTGGGGGCTTCCTTTTGGCCAGAAGCATGGAGAGGACCCAGGGAGCACCAAGCCCCCAGCAGCCTGCAGGGCCCATCCTCTCCAGTGTCTGGTTGTGCAGGCCTGGTCAGACAGCACAGAAGCCTGGCCTGGTGGCAGGGCGGAAGAGCTGGAGTTCCCTGAATGACAGTTTGGTGAAGCACATCCTTCATGCCCGACACTCCATAGCTGTTACTTGCACTCATCTTTATTGGTAAAGCGTGAGCTCTCCACTGTTTATTTCCCCTTCCAGGTAGGAAACTGAGTCAGAAACTTAAACTTGCCCAAGGTCACAGAGCAAGGTAACTTGAGTGTGGGATTTAACCCAGGTCTCTGTGACTCTGGGGTTCTTTAGCTCACTGAAGCCTCACAGACCTGTGAGGTTAGTATCCTCACCCCCATTTTGCAAGTACGAAAGCGAAGTTGCAGCATAGATGAGTAGCTTGCCCAAGGTGCCACAGCTGGAAGTGCTCAAATTCAGTTCTTTATCTGTATATACAATAGCATCCTCTTTATCTTTCCCTGCTGCATATGCTGGAATTTTATAGCAAACAAAGAGGTAATACCCGTGTCTTTATTTGACTAAATGTACCAAGTTTCCTTAAAGCACCTGCACTTAGCTGAGAGATTCCTTGCAGACTGAGTTGTTCTTAGGAAGACACCAGCAAGGGGCCCCTTGGCTCATCTGCTTTATTACCCCTGACTCACTCTTGGTACAAGACACATGGAACAGTGAGGTTCTTAGAGACTGAAGACAAGAAGCACCTCCAGGAAACATTTTACTTGTCCCTACCGGCCCCTCCTCTTTCACATTATCCCCACATTCCTCAGATTTTCTTGATTGGTGGGAGGTTGTCTGAAACCAGTCAGGCAACAGAATGTGGTGTGGAAGGTTCACCCTTGTTTTCTGGAAAACGGGATTTTGAGAAGTTGACATAGGGTCCAGTAAGAGCCAAGGAAGACGGGTTTTATATCAGACTCTAGAATGACTAATAATGCAGAGTTGTAGAGTCATTCTAGAACCTGAAGGTGGGGGTTTACCTCAAGGTAGGCAATATTTTGGGGGTTGGCTTACCCATTAGCCCTGTTCAAGGGCTAAGGTCAAACAAGAAAAGAAAGAGTAGAGAAAAGGGTGGTTGGCACTGAAATGCCCTCAAGATCAGTCCAGTATAGTAGAGTTACATAAAAATGGCAATTGTTCGTAACTTTTGAAGTGATCCTCACCAAAATAAGTTAGTAATCATGTCTGAGATGTGTTTCAAAATAATCCAGTGAGGGTAGAGATGAAAGAAAGATGGCCATAAGTTAATCATCCACCATAGCGGGGTCAGGGCTCACGTGATAATACAATGAACTATTAAAGTAACTCTTCACAAATGGTGATGTGAGTATGCAGTGAGCAGCGTGGTTGTGACTGATGTCCCATGGTCCCCTGGGAGTTAACCTTCATCTTAATGTCATTAAATCTCAGATCCAAGAGGAAAGTCCTCGGCCGCAAAGATTCAGATGACGATCACTCCCGGAACCATTCTCCTTCCCCTCCAGTGACACCCACCGGTGCTGCCCCCAGCCTGGCGTCCCCAAAACAAGTGGGGTCAATTCAGAGAAGCGTCCGTAAAAGCAGCACCAGCAGTGACAACTTCAAAGCTCTGCTGCTGAAAAAGGGGAGTCGCTCAGACACCAGTGCCCGCATGTCTGCAGCCGAGATGCTAAAGAACACAGACCCCAGATTCCAGAGGTCAAGGTCAGAGCCTTCGCCAGACACCCCCGAGAGCCCATCCAGCTGCTCCCCAAGCAAGAACAGAAGGGCCCAGGAGGAGTGGGCCAAGAACGAAGGCTTGATGCCTCGGAGTCTGTCCTTTTCCGGCCCCCGGTACGGCCGCAGTCGGACCCCACCTTCTGCCGCCAGCAGCAGGTTCAGCGTGCGGAACCGGATCCAGAGCAGCCCCATGACCGTTATCTCGGAAGGCGAAGGGGAGGCCCTGGAGCCGGTAGACAACAGGGCGCGTTGGGCCCTGGGCATGGCCAGGGGGTGTTCCCTGGATGGACTGGTAGGGGGTGAAACGGACCGGGGCAGCCTGCTCTGTGGTGGGGAGCCCACCGCCTCCCTGCAGACACAGGGTCCCAGCCCCACAGATGGGCCGGTCCGTGCCGAGGGCGCAGATCCAGCAGAACAGAGTGGAGGTCCTCTTCGGGAAGAGAGCTAGGGACGAGAGCCTGACTCTCCCAAGTAATGCGAGGGAGGCGTGCAACATGTGGCTCTAGGAAAGCCCGGCACACAGGTACCCTTCCCTGCCTGGCCTGCGGATCCCACTCAGCGTTCGCGCCGTTTCTGCCCTGGGCCCCAGCACGGAAGAAGAGCATCACATAGGACTCACTTGGCACTTGCCCTGTGGCTTAAAAGCAAGTAGAAGCTTAACTTCTTAAAGTGCTTCCTGGGGAAGACTTTTTTTTTTTTTTTTTGCAAAATGCTGGGTGTTTGTATGGAGGGGGGTGTGTGTGTGCATTTTGAACACTTTACATGTTTAAAAAAATACACACATATAGCATGTACAGAGTAGGAGAAGGAAACACAGTTAAGCTGGGTAGAGGAATGGAGGCTTTCTGGACTAGGTGGTAAGAATCGCTTTAAAAGTATCACGTTGTCAGAAATTAGTGAGTTCCTGAAGAAGGGAGTGAGAGAAGCGTTCCTTCTAAGAAAGAGGGGGCCTGTGCGTGGGTGCCCCTGCAGAGGACACATGGCAGTGCAGGCCCCAGTGTGCTTTCCATGTGAGCCATGTATGTCATGATGAACCCAAAACGATGGGAAAGGGCTAACGGACTAATGGGTTCAGGTACTTTTTTCTTGGGGGGCGGGGTGGGGGACTTTGTTTCCTTTTCGTGAAATTGGCAAACACGTGGAGGGGACATGCTATAACTCGGAGCCAGCTGCTGGTGCAGACATAGACTCCCAGCTCTCAGCCTGACTTTGAGACACGTGGGTCCTTCTGTACTGAATTCCCTCCTTGAGGAGCAGTAGAGGCCTCCTTGAGACTAGCAGTGAGATGGGCATATGCGGGAAGGGTGAGCGAGGAGGGGGTACGTGAGACACTGCTGAAAGCGGTTTCCTGCTTAGTCAATAAAACTATTTTTCAGAATTAAATTAGAAAACTTGCACTACAGAACTGTGGGTGGAGATTTTCCTTTTACAACTGTTTGTACCAGAGTTTAAACTTCCATTTGGCAATTTCTTACCATTTGAAATGTCAGCATTTGCTAACTTTTGGATATCCTTTTGGTTACACCAAAGAAAAAGGTATGGCTATTTTTCCTTGAACTGCCTACAGTATCATGTCCTCATTTGGAAAGGTTTATGAGAATCGATATATTACCTTACTTTGAAGAAAATGCTGAATAGCTCTTGTTAGTCAAATAAACTAATACAAATTGGCAGGGCTTGGCTATTAATTAGCCCTGGAAATGAGTTTTTAGATTAAAAAGATTTTTTGCATCATTTGGTTTGTGAGTTTTTATATATTTTATAAGGAATTGAGTTGGCTAATTACCTTCTAATCTTCTCCAGTTAGAATTTTAATACTTTTAGGCATGGGAGAAAAGTGTGTAAAGTATTTATTTTTATGTCCTATTCTTGTGACCTCCTTTCCCTATTCCTTCCCAACTGACGTGGACTTGGACTCCTGTATTTGTTGGCTAAATAAAATAAGTCTTGTCTTCTTCATTCGAAGGACCTAAGAGGACAGTACTGAGATTCTTGACCTACGTACAATGCAGCTGCCAGTGGTCATTTTTTTTTGGTATAAAAATATCATCGATAAGTTGGACTATATAGGCCAGATTATCAAAGGGTTTGTTACACATTACAGCTTTAGGTACCCATTTTAGACATGTCTTTGAAACAAAAACAAACGTATAGGATTAAGACTTCTCCCATTCTCTGAAGAAAACAAAACACTTCTTTTCACACAACCAGAAATCAAGACCCGACATTTGGCTGAAGGCTAAAGGACTTTTTACCATTTGGAGCAATTGTCTACTACATTGGGCACAAGGATCTTTTCTTCTAAATTCTAGAAAAGTGGTGTTGGCTTCTGAATATGAAGTCTTCTCATAGCTCCCTAAACAAGATTAGAATGTACGTGGATATCAGAAAACCTTAACTTAATATATAAATCATTTATGTCGAAGGTATAAAGTAAACAACATCAAAACTAATTATAAAACTATTTAAAAAATCCCCATTTTTTAAAGAAAAAAATATCAGGTTTTAAAATTTGCTTTGAATAAAACAATTGTAAAGTAAATATTTGAACGTTATTTCTTTTTGTTTGTACACTCACTTTTGAATAATAAGGTAGGCCTCCTTTCATGGAACTGTTGAGTGCTTTGCTGGATACAAACAGAACAGCAGCGAAGACCAGAAGGCGCCTGTGGGAGGTGGGGTCCCAACAGAGAGGAGATAGAATGTCACAGACACTGTGGATGGTTCCATCTAAAAGGACATATGGAAAAACAACTCTGAACAATGTCCTATCGACTCTTGAATAAAAAAGGAAAAATGTCTTGACCGATAGTTCAGGTAATGTGGCATGTGGAGGGATGCGAGAACTTCTCACAGGCGTGCATGAAATATAGGAAGACGAGAATCTAGATTTCACCCCTGAAACATATGGCGTCTTTGGCTTTGCTGCTTTATTCCTCCGTGAGGACTCGCTGCTGGTAACAGACCATATCATCTTTAAAAATTCAGTCCACATAGACGTGTGACCTTTCCTCATACCCTGAGACTGTTAAGTGCCAGAGAATCGTAGACAGAAGCCCTGGGGCTCAATTATTTCCACCTTATTTTTCCTGAGAGTTGGGAGAGAGACAAATGACCATGGGGCCTGTCACTGGGAAGCCACCTCACCTTTGGTCTGATTTCTGCCCTCCTGTTTCTGAAGAATGTCGATTGTGAGACCATTGCTTCTCCTGTGGGGATGTGCGTTTATTCGTTTAGGGAGTCGTAGTAACAAGGGGAAGAAAGGAGGCATTTCCACATCTCTGTCTTCTGCCTGCTCTGCAGCACCATGCCCGGCTCTGTGATGGGCATCCTGGTGGGACAGGTGAAGCATGGGATTGGCTTTATTGGTTCTGCCTTAATGTGTTTTCAGCACATTAACAAGGTGAATAACCATTTACGTTCCTGAGAGTCCATCATGAAATGAGTACAACAGGATAACTGGGGTGGATATTAGGATATTTTCGGGGGACAGGGTTGGAAGGGGGTCTTTCAAACGAAACATGGACCTGACTCTTCAGGTCCGTTTGATTCTTGAGGCCTGTTTTTCTGTAATAAGCTATTCAGTTACTGTAATATAGTTTCTTTCGATGAACTTCTCTAAACCACCTTCTACACAGGCCAGCCTTTACTCATAGAAGAGGACTGGAGCGCAATCTGTAGTCATTTGTTCAGCAGTGAAAAAAAGCCCTTTATTAAATACTTCTAATGTGCTAGGTAAAGAGCAGGGATCCTAGGATTAAAAAAATGTGGTTGAGAGTTTCCAGATCTAGTGAAAAAACACAAACTGGGAACTATCCTGTAAACTGTGTCAGAATAGAAGAGAAGAAAGAGCCCTCTGGCCTTCACAGCCAGCCCTGTTGGGACCCGACCCTCTCCTTTACCACCGGAACACCTGATGTTGATTCACACTGGCGACGCACCCAACCCAAACACTACCTCACAGCCTCCCCTGTAGTCAGGAGGGCACAGTGGCCAATGAGACATGAAGAGTAATCTGGAAATCTCCAGGATGTTTGCCAATACAGGAACCAGCTCCATCCCTTGTGGCTTCCTTTCTCCCGTTTGTCCCTGAATGAGTGGGAGGCTAGGAGAGGAGCCGTACTCTTCCAGCCTTTCAGCACCAATGGGTTGAAAGCCGCATGTTGTGGAAGGTGGAGGAGAAAGGAGCCTGGTCCACTGATTACCTCAAGAGCCACTGTACCATCCTTGAGCTATCCACCTCCAGGCACACTGGGTAAGTCATTTTTCCACTCGTGGTTGAGGGATAAGGTTCTCAGAGGAAGGTATCCTTGCCTTGACTTTTTTTTTTTTTTTTTTAAGTCCTCTCTATACCCAGTGTGGGGTTCGAACTCACAACCCTGAGATCAAGAGTGAGCCAGCCAGGTGTCCCAGGTGTCATTGCTTTTGACTAGGTAGATGTGGGGAGGGATTGATGATGAACCTGAACTGAGACGTTATGGCAAAGGAGGGTTTCACCAATCAGGGGAAGCTGACAGAAGAACACTCCAAATGGAGGGGATAGCATGAGCAAAGACACACAGGCCAAGTGTTCAGAGGAAGCCACGTAGTCTCTAGGGAAATGTCTCTAGGGAAACGTAGTAGGGCACGAGACTGGAAAGGTCATCTCTGGCAAGAATGTAGAGGACCCAGAATGCTCTCCCAAGGAATTTGGGTTTTCTGTAGTATTTGGAAACAGTGAAGGTTTTATAAGAAGGAGAATGGTATGACCTGGCTTGGTTCTTAGCCTTCTAAAGCTACACTCTTCTCTGTTGACTACATCTAATTCCATAGCATTAAGGTGTGTGTGTGTGTGTGTGTGTGTGTGTGTGTGTGTGTGTACTGGTGACTCCTGAACATCTGTCCTCACCTCCTCTGTGATCTCCAAATCAGTAATACCTACTGCCTACTCAGAATCTGCATTAAAGGTATTTTAAACTTAATATCTCCAAACCATTCTTCTATCCCCCCCCCCCAAAACACGCAAATCTCTACCTTATCAATTAACAACATTACACACACAATGGCTCAGGTGCCATATCCAGGTTCCTTCTTGTGCCTGTTTCCTTTTCACCGACATCTAAACCCTAAGCAAGTCATGTCAATCATACTGCCAGACTATTTCACAAATCCAATCACTTCTCACTGGTTCCCTTGCTACTGCTCAGGTCGAAGTTGTTTTCTCCCACCCAGACTCTTGTAGAAGCTTCCCAACTGGTTGGATATTTAAGGCGCATCTTCAGTTACTCTTAATGTGGCATACAAAATAAGCTCTTAACAATTCATAGCCCTCCAGTGTTTGGAACCCTTCGAAGACTATTACCATCAGAATAGGATTCTAAGGCCTTGCTGTGACCTTTAAGATCTGCCACTGTTCCCCTCACTCAAAGGGTCTGGCCTTATTCTGGTTTCAGTCCCTGAGCAGAAGCTACTCCCCACCTCAGAGCCTTTAACTACTGAAAAGAAAAGTTCCTCTATTTTTATGCTGCCTTAGTTTCCTCGGCAAGTAGACACCAAGATCATGAAGAGTGTCAATGGTTTTATTGGAGTGTAACACCTTTAAAAGGAAAAGGGAGAAAGGAAGATGAGGCCAGGAAAGCTATCGGATGGCAGTCCTGACCTTACATGTCTGCCTAGCCTATGAGAACTCAGGAAAG